TACTCTACTGATTTCCAAACAGAAATCTAACTTGAGATCACGAATTCTCAAAGACTTGTGTGTGGCACCTCATGGCACCCTTAAAAGGATCTCACAGCATGGCAGGGTACCATGGCACCCTGGTTGAGATTCACTGTTCTAACACAGTAGAACTGAGATAATTCATATCCAGGTGAATCACAATATGCTTAATTTACAATTGGTTGCTGAATTAAGAACAAGCCATGCATATTTGGTGAAGCTTTTACTTCAAAACAGCACCCTTTCAAATAAACGCCATAGCAAACAGCTGGACCACCTCAGCAGACCCACACAGCTATTTGATGCAGCATCATAAACAATATTCCCAGAAATTTCATTTCAGTTTCATATTTACAAAATGGCCTTAATAATACATTACCTTACAGGGTAATTCTGAAAATAAATCATATAGTATTTGTGAAGATATTTGTGATGACTGCCATAATGCAGGAGTAAATTAATAAACCTATGTTCAGAGAGGGGTTTCAACAGCATGCAGTATATAAAACATTGGGCCACACAATGATAAACAAAGATAGATATAGAATATCTGTCAATTAAGTGAACATCATCCTTAATGTGCAATAAATAAAGTAGATGTATCATAGAAAAAATTGCATGTAGTCATGCAATTAAAGACTATATCATAAATCACAAGATCATAAGAAAGTAGGGCTGGAAGTAAACTTACAGGTTAGGGACAGAACTTACATATAAACCAGTTTAAGTGATCAGAAACTGGCTTAAACTTGTAATAGAACAGAAGCTCAGTGCACATAAACCAGTTTCAAAATGGCTGAAACTGGTTTAAGATAAACTGGGTTGAATGTAGTATCTGACTTAACTGATCTGGCTCAACCAGTTTATGAAACTTCTGTTCTAGTCCCCTTCCTGGTTCAAGGTAAATCAGAGTCCTCCAGCATCCCAGCATTTTGCAGCCCGGGGCTGTGCTGTGATGTCTCCTCCAGAGAGCAGGGCTGGCCCCACCCCTCTGCTCACTAGCTGGAGTAGTGAGAGCTGGCTGACAAGGGGGGAGGGGGTGGCAAGCCCAGCTGGAGATGCAGCCCAGTCTGAAAGTGGGAGGGACTGCCCCCTCCAGGCAAACCCCGACAGTGGTCTGTGGCCAAGGAAGGGGGTTAAACACCCCTTCCCCTGCTCAAACTTACTGCTGGCTGCAACTGTGAACTACAAATCCCAGAAGCACCTGGAAGCAGGAAGAAGAAGTGATGAGCAATGTTGCGGAGTGCTGCTCTTATACCTCTGAACTGCAAATCCAAGACCTCAGGGGCAGCAGGAAGAAGTGAACACACAGCCAGAGAGCTGTGCTCTAGTGCCCCCAGGCTTCTGGCCTGAGATACTGCAAGCATGTGGCTGCATTTCCTGAATCAAAGGTAAGTGTCTGTTCAACTCTGTTTCAATTTAATTTGTACAGTTTAAACTAACCTGCAAAGAGTGAATCGATTCAGCCTGGGGCTTTTTGGTTGTCTGTACCTAGCCATGAAGTCTAGTCTAGCCCTGTGCTTAAGGTAGAATTATCCCTGACTAACCCATCCCAGCCAAGTGTCTGTCCAACCTACCCTTGACAATTTCCAGGGATAGAGATTCCAAAATTACTCTAGGTAGCCTGCTCCAATGCTTGAGCACCCTCAGAAAGTTCCATCTTCAACCTAAAATTTCCTCTGCAGCAGCTTGAAACCATTGCTTCTACTCCTGTCCCCTACAGCCACTGAGAAAAGCCCATCTCCACCCTCTCCATAATCACCTTTCAGCTATTTGAACATTTTTTTCTAATTGTGTCTTCTTTTCTCCTGACCATAGTTCTTTCAACCTTTCTTCATAAGCCTGGCCTCCTAGGCCCCTAATCATTTTTATAACTCTTTGCTATAATCTTTGCAATCTGTGAGACTTAAGAATGGGCACAGTACTCCAGGTGAGGCCAAACAGAGCAGAAAAATCACTTCCATTGATTTGCAAGTGACACTCCTGTTAATACAACCCATTTTACTGTTGACCTTTTTTGCAATAAGAGCACACTGTTGGCTAATATTCAGCTCGTGGTCTATGGTAACCCTCAGGACCTTCTCTACTGTACTACAGCTTAGCCAATCATTCCCCTAATCTGTATTTTTGCATGCAATTATTCCGTCCCAAATGCAGAACTCTGCACTTGTCCTCATTGAATCTCCGCTCACTGATTTCGAATAATTTTTCCAGTCTATCCAGGTCATTCTGGATCCTAGCCCTCCCCTCCAAAATGTCTGCAACTCCACCCAAGTTGGTGTCATCTGCAACTTTATTAAGAATCTACTCAATTCCATCATCCATTAATAAAGATGTTAAACAATACTGGATGAAGGACAGAATCCTGGGGAACCCCACTTGATACCTCCTTCCAACTAGACACTGAGCCACTGAGGACTACTCATTGAGCAAGATGATTCAACTATTTTACACTACTTTAATCTAGTCTTATATTGTTAGCTTGTTAATGAGAATGTCATGGATGAGTGTCATACCTTGATTTTAGCAAGGTTTTTATCACATCCACTGCTCTCCTTCATACACAGAGCCTGTCACCTTATCACAAAAGAAAATCAGGTTGGTCAGGCACAACTCACTCTTAGTGAATCCATGTTGGCTACTCCTGATTACCTTGTACTCCTTAAGTTGCTTCACAATAGATTATTTGAGGAGCTTTTCAGGTACTGAGGTCAGATCATGCATATACATGCATATAAACAAGGAGATAGATTCAAGTAGCAAAAGCAGCCTCAAATTTGGCCATTTCCAGCTTTGAAGCAGTTCATTGTCATCTTGAATATTCAATTAATGAAGACTTGAATTTTTTTAAAAAAATTGAAAAGAACAAATTTCATTATTGTATTGACAATCCCATGTTCCATCAGCAATATTGAAACCTCTAGATCATGGGTATCAAACGCATCATACCCCACAGGCTGCATGTGGAGCACAGAGCTGGCCAGCAGCTGGACTTGGTGCACAGGCAGGTGTTGCATGACATGTGTAGCACATGCACTGGCTCCAGGCCTGCAAACCGTGTATGCCAGACTGCCTCCACGTGCAGCATGCAGGGGTCCGGATGGCACGTGCTGCATGTGGGGCCAGTCCAGGGCATGCTACATGCAATGTGCAGGTCCAGTCCGAGATTTACACTCAGCACCACAGGATGGATGATATGGCTTTGTAGGCTGGATCCAGCCCATAAACCATATCTTTAACATCCCTGCTCTAGATCATCCTCACTTGAGGCAAATATTTAACACGGAAAATTTCATTCTCAATGGTAAAATTCTTACAAAGTTACAAGCAAATGAAAACACAGTCTTATAATGAGAAATATGGGTCAGTCTTAATAATAAATAGCATTACCTGTTTTAATTATAATAATGAACTTAAGGAAGTTCTTTTATAAACTGTTACAGGTATCAGCAGCAGAGGCAGCAAAAGCCTATCACTTTCCTCATACTCTCAACTCCATCCATATTTAAAATAGTAGGTGAAGTGGTAGGCAAAGCAATATCTTTGCCCTGAAGTCCCACTACTAATGCAGGAACTTCATGAAAAAGTGAGGTAACTTTATGCTGCCTTTTTTAAATCTAAGCCAGTTAGAAAGGTGTTATTTCTGGCTATTTTCAACTTGTATTTTCTGTTATAAAAGGTAAATTGAAAATATTAAACATTTTATTTTCTTACAGAGAATGCTCAAACATATTATTAAACCACTTTTTAATGTTTGTCTGTGCCTTTTTCAGACCAACCAATTTGGCCATATTATGAACACATATTTATACATGTTAAACTTGTAGAATTCTAGTTTGGGCTACTGGATTTATCTTAAATGACCAGTGAATAAGATACCGCACTATAAAAGCACATCTGAGATCACATATGAGAAGTTATCTTTAACCCCTATCCATCATACCTATTTGCATACGTTCAGCTTGTTCATTAATATTTTCTAGCTTATCAGCATAAACTTCTTTATAACCATTTATGAAAGAGAGATAAGATTTGGGTGTAACATGTGCTCTTCTTCGATATCTGAAAGACAGAATATCAACAGGTATTATTTAATATACAACAATATCGTGGCTTTCATTTTTTGCTTTAAATATAGGTTTTACAGAGTAGATCTTAATTGTAATGTAATTACTGTTAAAAATATAGGAAAAAAAAACATTTAATGAAGTAAAAAATCCCAGTGTTTCTTTAGAATAACTATGACAATTAAACTGATGTCCAGTTACCCATACAAGCTATATTAAAATTTATTCTATCCTTTTCATTCTTATACAGTGAAAAAAAAGGTAACATAGCTGTACTATCCTTGCAATTAGTGTTTATGGACGTTGTGTTTATTGGCATATTACCTTCACTTCTGTAAACTGGGAAAGCTGATTATAACTTCATCTATTACAATGACATAAAACAATTGGTGACAATATTTTGTAGTTATTTAACTATTCCACTTTCATAAAATGTTACCTCTGAAAATAATTATCACAGCTCTCAGAAACTATATCATGGAAGAGGCCCATAGTTTCTACTACACGTGCTTTAACTGAAGTGGAACAGACCATGTTAAATTCTGAAAGAAAATAACTAGCTACAGCAACAAGAGCTTCCTTAGGCCACCGATTAAACCAGTCCATAGTGCAGCCTGATATCAGACCAGGAAATTTCAAAGAACGGGCACGAAACTTCTCGCCTACCTAAAAAGAGTGAAAATTTTAAAACAATGTTTAATATAGAATACCGGATACCAAATACAAGTCTTTAAAAATGTTGTGCATATAAAAGATTCATCTTAGTTTGGTTTTTGTTAATGTTGTTGTTACCCTTATAACTTTATGCATAGGCTAGGTACAGACATTCAAAAAACCTGAGGCAGAATCAATTCAATCTACGCAGGTTTCTCTAAGGTGTGTAGATTGAATCATGAGTGAAAAGAACACACATTCATTCGTCAGTTAGGACGGGCATGCCGATGTCTGCACTGGCCAAGGCCAGAAGGTAGGGGCACTCCTGCATACCTCCCAGCCTGCCACAGATTGCTAAGGGCAGTTGAGTACAGCTGAGCTGGGGCCACCCCGATCAGCTGTCAAACACACAGCTCCAACCCCTACTGTCACTGCAGATCCTCTCCTGTGCCCAGCCCTAGTTTTCCAGGAAAGTCCCAGAGCACGTCATCATGGCAAGTCACCCACTGCCGCTGTCACCCAGGCTATGATGGGAGCTCGTGGAGCTCACTGGAAGTAACAGCTGTCAAGATGCACTGGGCAGCCCAGAAGGCTTGGGCCAGGGAGCAGAGACAGGAGCATTCCAAAGAAGAAAGGATCAGGCCCATTTGAGCTTGGCGCCATCAGCAGACAAGAGGCCTGATACTTCCTTTTATGGAGCGCTCTTTTCTCCACTGCCCAGTGTAAGGCTCCCAGGCAGCCCAGTGCGTTTTTCTGGAGCTCTGCACTAGCAGCAGCTGGCAAGACCCGCCAAGGTGCTCATTGCGTCTTGCTGGAGCTCAGCACAGCAAGGTCTGTGTTAGACCAGGTGCTGCCATTTTAAACCAGTCTATGTGCACTGAACTTCTGTTCTGTTACAGATTAAACCAGTTTTCAGTCACTTATACCAGTTCATGTGTAATAGCTGTACCTGGCTACAGTGTTTACCTTACTGCTGCATCCTATTTTATTTAACTACCTTGAAATCCTCAATATTATCAACAAAATAAGAAGCAACTACTTCAAATGAGCAGGACCATAATTTCATTTAAAAGGTAAAGTTTTTCATCTGCTCTGGCATGCTTCAAGGGTTCCTGTTTATCTGCCAAGCAGCAGTGACTTCACAAAAATCTAAAACAATTAAAGAAGCTTCATTTGCTGTTTTACAGCAAAGTTTGCTACTGTTGAAGAAGAAAAACAAGAAAACCCTGAATAGTCTTTGCATATAAAAGATGATTCCACTTTAAACTGTTCTCTCTTTAAATTTTGGCAATTGTTAATATTATTAGCACTAGCTCCACCAATTTTAGTATAGATTTTAGTCATATTTTTATTCATCTTTAAAGCTCAGGTTTCTGCCTGTAACAATTCCCAAAATTATAAAAGTTGTATGATTACAATATATGTATGAGAGAATCTATTTATGGAAATAAACAAGGTAGTTATAAAAATAAAACTCACAGGAGAAAAGCAGAGAACTACATGCAAATTCTTCTTTGCCCGAGATATAAAATACTCATAAAGATTATCATATGTAGGAGGATTTCGAGGCAGCTCTTTTTTCATCACAGATATTAATCCTTGAGTGATTTCATCCAGTTCATCCCGAGCAAATAAATTAGAAATCTTTAAACAAAATCAAAATTGACATGCTAAGAAATTGCATTAAATTATAATGATTACAGTTCATAATTATAATATATCACTGTCTTTCTCTACTTGGTTTATCTAACATTATGCACAAAAAATTGGTTGGTTTAGAAGCTTCTGGGCATGCACAGACCTGTTTGATGCTGGGGAGATGCCTACGTCCTTAGAGGGACTTGATTCATTAGGTGCACTTGGAGCAGAACTTGCTAACTTTGAGCTGAATTCAACACTGTCAAAGACTAGTGCTGGTGGCTATACCCACAATATATCTGTGATTAGAGCAATCATCTACGAAATGGGAGACCTGGGTTTAGCCCTCTTGAGTCTAAAGTGATTCGCATCTAACTCCCATTTTTAATAAGAATGTTCTAACCAGTGGGTACAGAATAAGCTAATTAAAAGCCATTGCCCACTCCTCCTATTGATATTGGGCCACCGAGTGCAAAGAGTTAAGGATCACAGGAACAGAAGCACAGTAAACAAGACAAAGTATGCCATGGTAATTTATGACTGCACTCTGAGTATTACAGTTTGTGCTATGACTGTAATTTCTATTTTTTATGTAATGACTACGTAACATACAATGCACAGCATGTAAAAGGAGCAAATAAGAGAAGACCATCCCTCCATGGGTGAATGGTTACAGCCCACTGCTGGAAGGAGGAGGCATGGTTTCTTGTCTGTGCTCCAAAGACAAGTACTATACTTTTAAGATTCAAACACACCTTTGCAAAAGCACTGATCTAGATTCAGTTTTGCCCCACCAGACAGTCCCAAGATTTGCAGTATTTGGGATACAGATTCTTGTCTGCCCCATAAACTATTACCAGAATCAATGACAATCAATTAAGGAGGAACCAACAGTTCTAGTTTTTTGTAAACCAATTCGGAACAAATACTGATGCTTCTGATTGATAAAATACAGCTTGCTAGTTTGAGGCTCTAACCTCTCCTGAGGACAGCAAATTGTTAAGGTATTCCAGAAAAGCCTCATCTTTTATTTCATTATCAGTGAAAATGAAGGTAATGCCTTTTCCTTCTGCTCCAGCTACTTTATACAGCAGTTTTAAATCATCTGTAAGATTGCTCACATTATATGATCTATGAAAAATAACAGAAATCACAAATTAGCTGAAAATACAATATAGAATTACAGCACTTTCAGATTATAAGATCCACCCACTTTGACCAGGATACATTCCATCTTTCAGTTAAATCAATGGGAAGTCTCAGACCCTGACTTAGGAAAGTACTTATACATTAGCTTAAAAGTATTTTTCCAAAAAGGGATATTTTGCCAAATCAAGACCCTAGTGTAAACTACCTGCAACCAATACTGTATAAGTTGATCACATCTTTTTTTTTTAATTTACTCCTTTTAAGGTGGTGGCTAAATATGGATTTTTTTTAAAAAAACATTAGTTTCTAGGTGTAAAAAAGGAAAGCAAGAAAAAACATCAATTTCTTACCTAGTTAAAGTGATCTGAAATATCCTATAACCTGCTATAAAAGAGGCCAACCTTGAAAGACTCTGTTTTCCAGAACCACCAACTCCCACAAGTAAAGCATTTCCACATGCTGTCCGAATTATTCGTGAAATCTATTTTAAAAAATGAAGTTAATCAGTGCTGTTGTATTTGTTTAGTTATAGAAGAGTAACAGAATTAAATATTGGTTTTATTTAGGGATGTATCAAAATCACGTCACAATTTTCATGGAAAAAGCAAAATCAGGGATTTTCTGTAAAAATCAGAGAAATCTGTGAAAAAGGAGCCCCGCAAAAAAAGCGGAGAAAAGCAGGGCTCTGTATAAAAATAAAAGGGTTTTCTTTTTTTCCCCCTGATTAAGCTAGAGTGGCCCTCATGCAGTCTCTCAGCCCTGCAACCTGGGTAGACAGGGACTGGCCTAGCCTTGATTTTTTTTTGCTGCAGCCGCAGCCACAGCCACAGCCACAGCCACATTCAGTCACAGCCACCCAGCCCATCTGGGTCCATCCCACAGTAAGTGGGTGCTGTGGAAGGTGGGGAATGGGATTGTGGAAAGTGGGGCTGGGCCAGGAAAGCAGAGCTGGGGTGGAGCGAGGCAGGGCAGTATAGCTGGGTTGTGGTGGGGGGAATGGGGCTGGGCCAAGGGGAGCAGAGCCAGGGCACGGCTGGGCCAAAAGGAGCAGAGCTAGGCCATGGTGGGCGGGCGGGGAGGGGGTGTGTGGCTTGGCCAGGGCAGTGGCGTGGCAGTGACCCATCCACATGCATGTGCGGGGCCAGAAGGAGCAGGGTTTGGCCAGGAGAAGCAGAGCCAGGTTGGGGCAGGGGGGCAGTGTCACTTGGCCGGGGAGCAACAGCATGGTGGCAGCCCATCCCTATGTCTGCAGGGAGTCAGGGGAGACTTTCCCACTGTCTGCCCCCATGTAGGACTGAGTAGGGAGTGAGGACAGGTTGGGCCAGGGGGCAGTGGCAGCCCATGTGTCTACTGGCTTCTAAAGCCAATCAGAGGCATGGGGGGCAGCCATATTCTGCCCATGAAATTGGACCCTGGAGCCACAACAAGTCCATGAAATTTGGCCCTGGGCTCTGTGATTTGAGTCCATCCCTACATATATTATATTCCAAACTTATTTGGTAGAAGCCCTTTTGACATCTCAGAGATCAGCAGAAGGATTCTTTGTTTTGCAGAGAGCTTTCTGTTCCAGAAAAGCTAGGAGGACCTGATTTCCAAATAAAGCAGTATTACATCCCCCCAAAAGCTATGTGAGATTTGCATGTAGAAACGTGGCAAAGATCTTCTAATTCTTGAAGAACATGTGTGATTTCAAAATAAAACATATGTAGAATTTAAGACTGCTACCCAATCTACCATGCAGGGCCATCATGCGTGAGCTCTCCACATACTCATGGGTAGCACTGCAGGCTGGATGACTGCAGTGGGCTGGATCTGGATATGGGCTAGTGGGGTCGAGCACCCCTGAACTATGCCACTTTGCATCAAATATATTTATGTAGCACTGTGTGTCATACATCACTAAATAAAGGGCATATGATATTTGCTCAAATATAACATGACCCTGATGACACCCCCAATAATTAGATTCTATATATGGAAAATATATAATTTTGTTACAATTTTCCAGGTGTAGAATCTAATCATTGGGGGTTTGGCTTGAATTTGTTCCCATCCCACCACTACGGCAGGGAAAATAAAACCATGGCATCAGGTAGTTCTCTTTTTGCCTCCCCCAAACTTCTCTCCCCTTGCAGCCCCTTCTCTCCATGCACCCCTCCCCCTGCCACACTTATTGTCTGACCACGCTCTCTCTCCCTGAGCACATGGAATTGAAGAGCAAATTGGAAAACACTGAACTTAAAAAAAACATAGCTGTAGTAATTTGCATATAGTACCCATAAACTTAGTTCATCCAAAATTGATGCATGTTACATTTTTTTGAAACTGCTGCAAATTTTAATACAAATACTCCATAAACACACTTTTAAGGAACACATTGGCATTTACTTATATACAGTAGAAATGATACATGATATTAGTCCAAAGCCAAAAAGCTGAGGATTTACCATGTAGTTCTTTGGGCTGGATCCCAGAACAGTCAACAGCATTTCAAGCCATCATGACCCCATACCTCAGTACTGCTCAGTATGTATGTGTATTCCAGACATACCTCCCCCCTTCAAAAAGGATCCATGTGCTAATTAGCCTCCCATTCATGACTTGTCACAAGTCTTGGGATCGTCCAAAAATGTATATGTGGAGGCAGCAATGATGAGCATGATGATGCCAGAAAGCAGACAGGAGCAGAGGAAAGAAGACAGCAGCAGAGGAGAAGCAGAGGACAGCAGGAGCACAACAGCAGGCCGACCCACCAGGATTGGCATGGCAGGAAAATGTGGAAAAGGCACTGAGAGAAGCTAGAGAGGAGCGAAGGCTGAGAATAAAGACAACTTTAACCAGTGACAGGAGGCAGACAGGATCAACAATGAACAGATATGATATCTAGAAAAAGGTACTGTTTGAGATTTTGGAGGTGCAGGTGGAGCATCTCACCAGTCTGACTGCTTGCTTGAACCAAAAGATTTGGGACTTTATTTACTGAGACAGAGAAGGATATGAGATTTGTTGGAAGAAATATGCAGAGAAACATGGAGGGAGGAATTAGGAGGGAAAACGTTCATAGCAGGGGAAAAGTAAAGAGAAAGAGTGATTATGGTTCAAATGTACACAGATTTACTAGAGGCATAAGATATAGAAAGATGGATGGAAAAGTATATCTAAAGGGTCATGTCAGTAGAGAAAGTAGGGGACAAACATTATCTGGACATGAGCAGAAGGACTGCCTATGAAATTTTAAGAAAAGTTCTGGGCACGGGTAGCGAAGGATACAGTGGAAGTGTCTGAGGAAATAGCAGAAACAGAAGAGACAGGGACAGATTTTGCAAGAGGGGTTGTGATCATATTCTTTGAAAAAGGGGAGAAGGAACTCTTGAAAAACCAGACTGATTATGCTGTCTAATATGAACTATAAGTTAATGGCCAAGATGCTGGCTTTGAGAAGGAGGAAAAACCTCTATCAGATAATGCAGGAAAACCAAGTATGCCAAGTACTAGGTAGAAGGATCTCCAAAGAGATCACTGTGATCAGAGATAAACTGTCTCATGTCCAAGAGAGGCAAAAAAAAATGGTAAAGCAAACCTAGTTTTAGAAAAAAGTATATGATAGAGTGGATCATGCTTACGTATTTGAGGACCTAGGAAAATGGGGTTCCCAGAGAAATTAATATGTTGGATAAGGTTATTGTATAGACAAGCAGAGTCAAGTCCAAATTCATGGGCACCTATGGATTCTTTAAACTCCATATGGGGTGAGAGAAGGGTGCCCCTGTCACCACTACTATTTGTGTGTGACATGGAACCATTAGCACAAAGAATAAGAAAACAAAAGGTCATAAGCAGAGTAAAGATACTGGGATCGGGTGAGGTAAAATGCGTAGTATACAGGGATGATATAAATGTTGTAATTAGAGATAGACTTTCAATGGAAAGGGTGCTAAAACATACATCAGAATATGGAAAAGCAATGGGGGTTAAACTAAATAGATTAAAAAGTATGATAATGAGAGTGGGGAACTGGAAGAATTTGGAGAAGCTGGGCCATCAAATAAAAGAGAAATCAGAGTGCTAGGGATCTTGATGAATGCCAAAAGGAAAAGTAATACAGCATAGAAAAGAATTATGGCAAGGCTATGACAAATATTTTGGTTATAATTCAAAAGGACACTGTCCTTTGCTGGAAAAGTGGCAGTGTTTAAGGCTGTGCTACTGCTGATTATTCTATATACAGGAATTGTGTTCACTGACGTGGTGGCAGATAGCAAAAGTACAGAGTTAAATATGCATGTTCTTCTGGAATGCCAATAGAGAAAGGTTGGCTAGATCTGAACTGTACAAAGTAAGAAAGATGAAGGGATGAGGGCTGCCAGACTTGAGATTGTTCATCTATGAGAAATATGTAAGCAAGATATGCAAGGCTTATAGGTGGTTTGCATTATTGAGCACATGCTGCTTTTGGCCACAGTTTAAAAATAGACAACGTATTTAATGAAGCTTCTTTATATACAAATATAAGACGAGGGGCTTTTCCCCCCTCCATGCTGATTGGAGGGGAAAAAAAATCTCGTTTGGCATTCCAGTAAATACAGTATTATCATAACATCTAGAGGTGGGAAGGCAGACTCACTCAAGTCAAAGAAGCCAGGTAGCCCTGCCAGTTACATAACACTTCAATATTCCATCTTGTGTAACGTGTTGAAAGGAACCATTTTCTTTTTTTATACAACCTAAGGCTTGGCAATTTTTGCTGCTGACAAAGCATTAAAGCAGTCACTTACCATAATCTTATCACTTATCACTTACTATTATCTTCTAATATATCTGCCATTCATGCTTCCTTTGATACAGTTATTTCTGAATGACTTCCCCACACACATACCTTTACATTAATTTAAAAGGCATTCCATATTCCATTCTTTACTGATTTTTCTATCCTTTTTTAAACCTCATAGGTATTACTCATGTATATCTTGACATCAACGTTTAACTTTAAAAACTTACATTTCCAAGACAATGTAAACTAGGAAGCGTGTTACATCCACCCTATAACTCATATACAAGCCTGGCTTCTATATCAAGGTGTTTGTATCCTATTCCTTCCTTCTAAGAGGATTTAGGTGAGCACACAATTACACTCTGTACAATACCTGATAGACAATTTGAATTCAGATTGCCATTCTAGTTCTGTAGTGCAGGCGACTCATGAGTTTTATTCATCTAAACAAAATATGTTAAAAAAAAACCATTAACCTTAACAAGATGAGTCATTGCATCTTTAAAAAACACCAGGTCGAGAAATGATCCCCTGATGCATTCATTGTAACTTTTTTGGTATGCTTGAAGTCTTTCACACAGAAATTCAAAAGTGGGAATCTGAAAGAGAAAAAGTTAATTTTCATACATTAATTTAGGACTTTTGTGTATTTATTTCTCAGGTTTTAAAATTGTTTGGAGACTCCTCAGTGCTGTCTTGAAATGCAAGTAACTGTCCACAAAGAAACACAATATTGTTTCATTGGTTTCAACTAGGGAGAGTCATATATGTCTCTGACAATGGAGAACGGACTATATTGATAAGGTAGATTCCTTACCACATTTTAAGACTTTTTAAAAATGTGGATAAAATGACTGACCTGACAAATCTGGAAATGTATTCCCCAGAAATTCAGCATGTGTTTAGTAAAATTTGCATATAATGTGAACTCAGCCATACGCCACATGTAAAATAAAATACCTCTTCATACATTTTTGGTGCTTCAAATACAAAATCTTCAGGTTCTTCTCCAGTGGGTTCAGGCATTTCCCGTAAAAAATCTACAAAATATGGTTCATTCTGGAGAACTGATTCTAATCCTGCACCCATACATTCCTCAACTGCTCGAGAAATGGTTTTATCAAACCAAGCTACATCTTCAGCAGTAATAAATCTACAAGATACAGATTAATACAATTAAAAATTGAAAGATTTTTAATTAAACACACATAAAAATATTTAATAAAATACAGAACAGACAAATCAAAAAGCATTTAATGAATTATAAATTATATAATTATAGCTACAAAAGTGTAAGTGCTCTGATGTTTCACATGTACAAGAGTCATATCCATTCAATATATTATACTTTTACTTTCTTTCTTCCAGGGTTATAACAGACAATTTTATCAGATAAATAAAAAGAAATGACTCACCAATGATTTTGTACATCTCTTTTTGCAATGGGATTTAGTGAAGTTAGCAGGCAGCAAGGAGGAAATGCATACCTTGGACAAGATATACCAGCACAGAAATGACATCAGTCTTCATTTTTCCCCCCTGCACCCAGTAGTCTCAGCAAGGGTTCAAGACTTCTGATATGCCAGAGAGTTTAAACCCCAGTAGGACTGTTAGGCATGGGGATTTAAATTCCCTAGGATGGGGAACGCTTCAACTTTCCCTGCTCCTGACTGGGACAGCACCAGGCCAGTTGGAGACCCTGGGTTTCCCCTGCTGCCAAATTTTCAGACTCATAGGGATACCATGGGCCAGACAGCATGGCCCTGCACTCCACTGGATTACTTTTTTGTGTACCAGATGGTATCTGCATTAAGCTCAGGACAACTTGCCTCCCTTCTGCTTATAGTTCGTCTCCACTGACACACAGTTACAGAGCAGATGCATAGGAAGATGGTGTTTTTGAAGGTGATTGATCCAAAGAGATAAAGACACTTGGGGCGGGGGGAGAGGGGCAGTTTTGTTGGACAAGAAGCTCAAGGGAGAAAATACTGGAGAGTTTCATTTACTGGAGAATACAATAGGACAGAAAGAGGCATGAAACCAAAGGACAGAAACGGAGAATGATTGGATCAGCAATGTAAGTGAGGACAGGCTTAGGGGACAGTAGAAAGAAGGAACAGCAAAGTGTTTCCATATTGTTATCATTTTTTGATCTATGCACTTCACATAAATTTAGGGTCTTGGAGCCTGTTTCTCTTAGAAGAAAAAGCTGATGTTGAAATCAGGTAATTTCTCTGATGTGATCCAATTGCTAAATCTGGTTTTAATAAAATAAAGTCAAAAGTATTCTCTCATGGTTTACTCCTTCTTCCTGAAGTTTACAGACAAAGTCCAAGCTGGAACCTCATGCAAGTCAAAAGGCTGAGATAGTCCCTCAGATGTTGCAAATGCAGTTATACCTTTGGACAGAGGAATTTGCCCAATGAACTGGCTAATATTTCAGGTACAGTAGCCCAAAACCACAATTCAGGGTTCTTAACCAGAATGTTCTGCCTCTAGTTCTCTAAGGTTTTGTTTCAGCACATGAAGGGTAACTACCAATCATTTAGGTTGAAGTTACCTATAGTTATCAGCAGTTAGTTAAACTGCCCCTTCAAACTTATCAGTTAGGCTGTGTTAACAAAAGATTTTTTGATTCAGTGGGTGATTTGGGGGGAGGGGAGGGGAAATGGTTCAGGGGGATCCTAAACTGTTGGGTTTCACCATTTTTGGTGAAATGGAAAAAAAAAAAAGAAAAAAAAAGAAACAAAATTTTTTGGATCCATCTGAAAAAAATGGGTTTTCATTTTGGCCACCCTATTTTGCCCCTATTTAGTTCAATTTCAAAATAAAAATGCCATTTGAAATAAGAAGTTTAAATATTATATTTAAAACATTATAAAATAAAATAAGCATTTCAACATTTTCATTTTTCCCTTTGAGCTCTTCAATGAATTTGACAGAAATTCAAAAATTGTTCAGCCACCCCCCGGCATTTTGAAGGTAAATTTACTGTTTGCTAAAAAAAAAATTCCCAGGTGTATTCAGGAGACCTGTCTTTTATCTAGCTATTCACCTGTCCCAATTGGCCTCAGACTTTGTTCTTCAAGAAGATTCATCTGGTCTTCCAGTATTAAAGCCAGGTAATTAGCCACCATCTTTTCTGGGTGATTGAAAAAGCAACCCAATTGACTTCCCAGGAGATGGCAGAAAAGGAACTAAAAATGTTGCAATTCAGAGGGCCGTCCTAAAGCCAGGTCTGTAAATTATGAATTTGTCCAGATATGCTGCACTATAACCTAGGCAAGGCCATAGCAACTGATACATAAAACACTGGAACATCACTGGAAACCCATGCAAGCCACAAGGCTGAGATAGTCCCCAAGATGTTATAACTTTGGACAGAGGAATTTGCCAATGAACTGGCTAAACTCAATATACTGATATATTTAGCACTGCTTAAGTTTGACAAATCATCCCTGAGCCATGCACCAATCTTGAATTTAATATCATTCATTTTTCTGAAATCTTCATTGAAATTAATTTCCTCATTCTCTTTTGGAACAATCACTATTGATAAGCACCATGAACCATTTGATGTGGATTTGCTGTATCTTCTCTTCCACCCTGGATTTCAGATGTTCTAGAATCTAATATGTTCTTTAAGGGTATCAAGGGAAACCCTTCCATTTCATCTGTATGCTGAAACACATTTTCCCCCTGACCTACAAGAAACTATAATGTGGAATATACTGATACTCTGGCTTAAATGCACATATTGTTCAGCTGTACAAATACAGGAGGTCAGCTGTCTATCCATTGACCTCCTGTACTTGTCACAATGCTTATGCATCCTCTGCTAATTTTCTTCCTGATTGAGGAGTCCGAACAACACTTTCTTTTTGTTTTTATTCTAAGATATTATCAAAAGTATATGAAAGATCTTTCTTTTTCTGATAATTCCATTTAATAATTTATCAGTCCTACTTGATTAATACTTCTAACAGACGTTTTGCTAAGAGCTTACTGTCAGAATAGCAGGTACTGACAACAGAATCTTGGATCCTACCTCAAGCTGTCATTCTGAAACTCATTTATTATACCACTTCACTTTTCTTAAGTGTTTGAATTTTATGATCTGTGGGCCATGTATAAATTTAAGACCAAAGGTTTTTCTCATTTCACAGTGGTGCTCTCTCCTAAGGTCAAAGATTAAGACTAGAAAATGTCCTATGGAGAATCTTGGTATCTGTTGGGATAACAGCAGTAGGCAGCAAGCTCACAGAAAAAGTAAATATCTTTAAACTTGGCCTTATAATGCTAACATTCATTTCTAAAGAAACATCAAGAGCCTATTATCGTAAATATAATGGTCTCCTAGTACTCCTAAATATTTTATACATATAAAATGACAAAATTATTGTACCTGTCAGCAATTACTCTAGTGCATTCATGTTTAAAAAGTGCCATAAGTGTAGTGATATTGTTGCATTCTTCTGCTTTTATAGTTAGCATTCCTTGCCAAATTCTGGAAAGGTCTCGAAGATTGAAAATATAATGAAACTTGGATGGTGTGGGTAGCATCTTAGTCTAAAACCAAAAATATAGTCATTAGTTAAGTCAATGACAACCATGAGGAAACAAGAATATTACAAATCAAAATAATAAAGACGTTTGCATTCTTAAATTCCACTTTGGGACTCATCTGCCTGCAATGAAATCAATGATAAAATCTTATTGATGTTAGCGGGAGCAAGGTTAAGCTGTATATGTAAATGTCAACACTGAGAACATTCATGAGTGGCTATTTTTTAAAATAACAATGATCAAAGAGACATCTCAAGTCCACAATATATGAATATATTAATGCTTGGGGTGTACACATAAGGAACTCTCTAGAATTTACAGGAGTTAATAGACCATTAAAACTGTGTACACTTTGCACACTGAAATCTTTAGATGTTTTTGGATTTTTACTCCAAAACTTATTCTCATAGAAAGCCCCTTCCCCCCCACTCCTTTTAGCTTCTACCGTTGCTCCTTCCATTCTCACCTGGCTCTTGAGTTCATTACTATGACTTGTATGATTTGGTTAAGTTAGAGAAAGGTAACATTTCAAATTGGAATGAATATATCAAATAAATTGTTTAAATATATAACATTTTAAAATGTAGGAGATTTTATTTAGAATATGTATGCAGTCTTAATTCTAAAAATAGGTACAGCTTAGAAAAATGGAAGTGTCTCATTATGACTTCACAGCAATAGCACTTTGGTGTCTTCAGTAAAAATACACTTTAATAAAGAAGTAAGCTAGAACCCTCAGTATAATTAAAGGTCAGGTATGGATTTTATTTTAGGGAAGTGTTCATATTCTTTGTATGAAGAATGCTGTACCTCCCCAAAAATACTGTATATAACCTATGACAGAGGGGTAGCCATCAAGTTTGGCAACCTGGACAAACATCCCTGAGGAGAGGGAGCTAAGGGCCATAGAGGAGGGGGATGGTCTTGCTGCTACTGTTGAGACCCTTGCTGTTCCAGTTGTGTTCCAGCACCTGGCTCCTATGGTAAGGAAGGTTGCTCCTGACATGGCAAAGACTTTAGTGGAAAGGGGCACCGTTCCTGTGCCCCAAGTTGGCAACTGGGGCTGATGCCTATCTCACTTCCCTAACTTACACTACTGAGCTATGACCAAAAAGCCAATATTTAGGAAGGGTGAGGATGGTAGTTGTTTATGCATTTTAATGAGTAACTCTTGAATGAAAAATGCATACATGTGTCCTTGAAGATCTGATCAGCAGGGATCTGGGTTTTTCCATTTCCCACATTAAAACAGAGAAAACCACAGATTTCCCCTTTTTATCAGAGAAAACGCGGATTTCTCCTTTTAGCAGAGAAACCCACAGATTCCCTGCTTTTGCAAACAGCTCTGCAGGCTGGTTGAGCTCCAGCCTGCAAGAGCTGTTTGCAAACAGGGTGGGAAACCCCCAGCCCTACCCAGAGAGGGAGGGGAAGGGCAGGGCCTGAGGTTCTCACTTAGCCACAGCTCCACTCAGCTCAGCTCAGCTTCACTCTTCACCTGGAGCCTGAGGTAAGTATGCCTGAGGTAAGGGGCAACTCTGGCAAGGGGTTACAGGTCATGGCTGGGGGGTACCGGCAGGGCTGGGGGGAGCCAGGAGCCAGCTGCAGCCCCACCTCCACCCCCACCCAAGCAGGCAGCAGTGGGGGAGCTGGCTCCATGCTGCTTCTGCTGCAGCTGCCTGCTGTTGGGGGCGGGGAGCTGCAGACTTGGGTCCCTGGCCCCATAACCCTGGCACCTGGGGGCCCCCTCTGGCAGGGCTGGGGAGCAAGGGCTGTGGGTGGGGGACAAGAGGCACGAGTAGGGTGGAGGGGCTGTTGTGGGGGCAGTGAGGGTCACCAGCATTATTGGGGGGCTTTGGGGGCAGTGAAGGTCACTAGCAAGGCTGGGGGAGGCGTTGGGGGCAGTAAAAGGCAACAGCAGGGTTGTGGAGGCTTTGGGGGTAGTAAAGGTCACCAGCAGTATTGGGGGAGGCTTTGGGGGCAGTGGGGTGGACCAGCAGTATTGGGAGGGGCTTTGGGGGCAGTGAGGGGCACAAGCAGTGCCAGGGGAGAAGGCTTTGGGGGCAGTAATGGGCACCAGCAGGGCTGGGGGGAAGCTGCAGGGGTCTTTTAATTTTAATAATGGATTTTGGGTGTTTTGTTAAAGAATTTGATATTTTTCATCAGAGAATGTGACTTTTTTATCAGAGAAAACCAGGATCTCTGGTGATCAGAACTCAGTACTTCTGTTTGATAGGAATGCCCTTATCATATAGCTACAGAGTCATTTTCTTGAGCTTAGTCTCTTTCTGGCCCTATGGATTTTGTGGTTTTGGCTGTACAGTAGCACAGGTCCAACAGGAAGGGCTTTGGATTGGTATAATTGTTTTTTCTATATATATATTCTCTGATGAGAAATGGAAGTCATTACTGTGGCCAAGTCTTCACAGTTTTTCTATTAGTGTAACACCTTCAGTTAGAGAGCCATACACAAGGAACCTTGCAAAACACAAAGGAACACTCAGAACCCCTCAAAGGGGAGCCAAGATAAGGTTCAGTAGGACATAACAGCTCAGCAAAGGAAAGAACCATGATACAAGTCCAGAGATGTATTAAGACCACAAAGGTAGCCAAAGCAGCCCAAAAAAAGTTTTGTTAATTACATTCAGAACAGCTATACAATCTACTCTAAGTGGCATATCCTCTAGGTACTTTACTCTGAGGATAGAGCTTGGAAGACTGACACCACTATTTTCTGTTTCCCTGCTGGAAAATGGTAACAACTGTGGATAGTTCCATGCAAAATATGATTTTTCTGATTTTCCAGTGCCTGCCTAAGTTATGATAAAAGCTACTTTGTGTGACCTCGTCATGCCTTCTGCCAGCTCATTTATTGTAAGGCAGTCACTCTTTTCTCAGGTTTCAACAAAACCAGGCCCTTCAATTTGAAATCTTATCTAATACAAGTTCAGGCTACTCTACCCACTTGATTCAAAGGAAATAAAAAGAAAATAACCTAGCTCTTTCAGTTCAGGCCTCAAAGGTTCTTCAGCATCTCTCAGTAACAGTAACCTTCTTCAGGTCTCAATTCTCTCTCAGGAGCTTTTAAATGCTCTTTGCTGGGAATCCACCAAGGAATCTGATTCCCCCTAGCTGTACCTCAGTGTCAAACAGAGCTAGCAGCCATTTTGGGTTCCTTAAAGGGTCCCTACACCCTGTTGCACATTGTTCATAAATAGTGAATATATTTTCATCATTTTTAGCATTGTGTACCTTTGTCCACTGCCATAGTATTCTGCCAGTTGGGACTAATTTCTTGATTACATCACATATCTCAGGACTGAATTTTCTACATGGGTGAAAGTATCCAGAGCCAATAATTCCTGAAAAAGAATAAGACACAAGACAAAGCTTTAGAATAAATGTAATATATACCTCATTCTTTCCTAAGAAAGAACTGTTATTTTGCAAAACTTTTGGTTCTTTGGGATGTGATATCCATACTGATCCCACTTCCGATGATTATTTGCCCATGAGATCCAATCCTTTTTGGCAAATATTCTTTTGGGGCTGTGTCCGCACCTCTACCTCGATGCCTTCACACCCCCAGGCATGAAGACATTAAAAGCAAAGCAGATCCAGTTATCCCTCAGATCCAGATATAAGACTCCATAGCAGAGGAGGGAAGAAGATCCACATGGAGAATACAACTTGAAGATCTGCAGTTATTATAAAGTAAAGTAACTACTTTTTTCTTCTTCAAGCTTTGTTCATATGGATTCCACTTCTTATGACCACCAAAGCAGGGACCTCATAATTCAGGAGGTGGGAATGTAAAGTTCTATTTAAATAGCAATTACAAGACAGGTCTGCAAAAATGGCTGTTAGATCTTGAGGTCTGAGTTAACTAGAAGTGTGGACTGATTCCCAATAAAGTGAAAAAGCTGTCTAAACTCTGGCTTTAACTTGCATGGTGTAGATCTAATCCAGCTAGAGAAGCTCTCAAAGGGTCTTACTGTACCAAAATAACATAAAAGTCAGACCTCCCCACACTTAGGAATTGAAATCTGGCTACCCTGTAATTGGAGTAAGACTCAGAAAAGGATGAAATCTGGAGGTACTACTGAACTAAATTTATGTGAGAAGAGAATTAAGTTTATAGCTTACATGGCTTAATTGGCAATAAATTATATATATACACACATATATTATATAAATAAATAAAAAGAGTACCAAAAATTTTGTCTATGGATGCATTGGATGGCAATGTGCAATTAAATATAGAAAACTGCCTCTTCAAACGCTGTGGGATATCATTACGGCCTCCTCCAGGGTGTATCATAGCTGCTATTAACTGTACATCAACAATTGTTGTAAAGTCTCCAGGTTTATCCAAACTGTACATTCCTTCCATTTCCATCATCTGGCGCACTATTTCATTTGTGATCTATAAAAAAAAAAATCACTAATTACCATTCTAAAGGAAAATAATGGAAAACAATCACATGCTAATTTCTTTAAATTTTGCTGTCTTGGTACTTGTGTCCAAAGAGTGTTTTGTGCTTTAATCTAGACATAGGTCAGAACAGAGATAAGATTTCAAGATTACATAAGAGATAATACCTTATCCCAGAGGACAACAGACTTTTTCAAGCCTCAGGCTGAACAATCCAGCTCCAGTCTGATAGGGGATGGGTGGCTTTGGCAATGCATTGATGGCAGAGGCTAGAGCAGTGGGAGGGGAAAGGGAATGCTCGGCTGCTCCTTCTCCCAGGCCTGCTTGGTTGCAGTGTGAGTGCACCTCCCAGCAGGAGCAGAGCTGTGCTGTACTGGGCTAAGGTGGGGTTGGGACAGAGGGAGGGGTGGGCAGAAGTGAGAGCAGCAAATTTCAGTTCCCCATCCCAACTATCTATCTATTCACCAGCAAAAGATCTACATGTTAACTAGAAAAATATTAATGAGTTTGTCTACCATTTTGTGGGAGGTACTGGCAAAGAGCTGAATAGAAAAAAAGAAATTATTAGTTAAGAAACTATAAGCTGTAAACAGCTATAATTGAAAACTGTTTTAAAAGACAAAGGGAAGGCTATACAGTAGGTCTAATAAAAGATATCACTAGAAACCTTGCTTTTTGCATATTTCCTGGATTATCACTGGTACAAGAAAACTTCAACCCTTCTTCTTAAAAGGAAAGCAAGATTTGCTAGTCAAAAGCTTGAATCAACTGTTCCAGATTAACAGTTACATTTAATCAGCCCTTACGCTGGTGTGAGTAAGCTAAAGCACTGTAACTTTAAACCTGAATAAAATGGGTTTAAAGTTACAATGGTTTAGTTCTTTTTATACCAGTGTAGGAATGAACAGACATAATTGTTATGTCATAGCATCTTACACTGGCACAATTTACTACTAGGATAATTGCTACATTTGTCCACACCCACAGTATTCTCCAACATAATTTTAACTGGATGCATCTACAGATGAAATTAAGATGAAACAATAAACTCTGGAGCTGTCTGAACCAAAATAAACTGCTCCTGGGCACAGCATCTACACATGAGCCTGGGACAGCAGTAATTTGAGCTGGGGCGGAGCAGGCCCAGGCTGGCAGGGGGGTTGGGAGTTCAGCCCTGGGCTCTGGGTGGCAGCATCAGGCAGTGGAGGGGCTGGCTGGGGCACGAGGATCCTGAACCTACAGACTTGCGTGGCTAGGTGGGAAGCAGGAGTCTGTCCCCTGCCTGGTCACTGTCTATATGTGCATTTCAGAGCAGTTAATGACTGCTATAAGATACTGTTGCGGACAGTACTATCTTACAGCAAAGCTAATTAGTTTACTGCACCCTGATACCAGTGTACGTGTAGAAAGTGATGCTTTACTGCAGTCTAGTTGGCACTAAAATGCATGTGTAGATGCACCCACAGATGGAGAAATCAGATTGCTGCTGACCTCAGTGAATGGGTTCTAATGCCTTTTGGAGCTGCTATTCCTATAGACCTATCTGTTTCCAAAAGGTTTTTTTATGTACCAAATAATGAAAACTTTGATGATTTCTGCCCTTTGCTTTTTCGGTTGAAAGAAGCAAATAATGTATGTCTTTCTTAAGAAGAAATGTCCAAGAGAAAGATTCTGCATGCTCTTTAATCATTAGTGTATGCAATACATTTTCCCATGGTGTGAATTGGCTTTGGACAAACAAGCAGACAAATGTCTTGGGAAATGTAGAATAGAAATAAATATTTTAAAATAAATATGTAAGCAGCGTTATGAACTTTTATGTCTGCCTACAAGACACAGATGGCTTTTCCATAGATAACACAGAATAAAACTTAAGCTTTCTCTAAAACAGCGTGAAGTGACAGTTACCGTCAATTTAATATCACACAGAAAGTTAGTAACATGTTCTTTTGGGAATTATGCTGCTTTCATATGGTCTTATAAAATATAAAATAACTTAAAATAATGTACAAAATAGTACTTCTAAATCTGAAATATATATCTGAGATGTCTAATCTGTTCCCTTTTTGCTTCACAAACATATTATTATATGACTAATTTCCAGAATTTATTTATAAACAAAAATACTGCATAGTAAAAAAGAATAAAATCTTTCCTGTATGTAAAAAAAAAAAAAGGTTTGAATTATGGTATTTAACACAAATAATTAAATCTGAAGTTACTTTAGAATATATTTAGTAATATATTAAAATATTAAATTTTGAATGATACCT